TTTGGTAATATATTTTTGGGAGAAAAAATTTTAATTTTGATTATGTCCATTTTATTTATAGAGTACATTTTTGCTATCATATCTAAGCCATTTAGGGGTAGAATGTGAATATAGATCTGGCTCCAGTGTTCATGTTCTTAACCATTAAATCACTATTAGTAATATTGCAGATTAAGTTATTATGATGAATTTTTTGTGTTTTGGCCTGACAAATACCTATGAAGCAAAAAAGCCCCATAATCATACCCCAACCTTAGCATAGACATTTGGAGGATTATGGGTAGGGACTGGGATGCCCATGTGTTAGGGAGAGGACTAAGATTCAAGTGAGAGAAGGGCTGGTCTTCAGGTCATCTACTGAGCTGCTTCCCCTGCTGCACACCTAACAGAGCTGTGACCCCACGTGCTTGCTCTCAGTGGCAGAGTCTCTCCAGAGAGATTTTCACACAGACACACTCAATGCTGGGGGATGTTTACTTCTGTAGATTTTCTAGAAGGGTAATGAGAGGAAACATAGTAACTCTAAGGCCACAGATGTCCCTCCAGGAGGCCACACCAAGGCTCAGAAACAGGAGCTCCCTGTAAGGATTGCTCCCCTATGGTAGCTCAGCCACAGGGAGGGACCTGGAAGGAAGGTGCCTTCTCTTCAGCCTGCAATTCCCACTTGTTGTTTAATGTCCCCAGCTGTATCCAGGATATACAGTACCCCCAATCCATGCCCTTTCTTTCTGTAGTTTCACTTACCTGCAATGCACCACAGGCTGAAAATATTAAGTAGAAAATTCCAGAAATAAGTAATTCATGTTCTAAATTGTATGCCATTCTGAGTAGCATGATGAAATCTTGTACTGTGTAACTTTTTATTACAGTATATTGTTACAACTGTTAATCTCTTAATGTACCTAATTTATAAATTCAACTTTATAATAGGTATGTATGTATAGGAAAACCACAATATATATAGGTTTGGTACTATCTCTGGTTTCAGGTATCTACTGGGAGTGGCAGCACATATCCCTTTTGAAAAAGGGGGGTGGTTACTGTATAACAGACCTTAGGGTTGAAAAACAGAGAGACCACAAAATAAGCAGTAGGAAGTCTGAACATCCCAGGATTGCAGTAACAACCAGGAGGATAAGGTCACCTATTTTGGGTATTGGGGAGCAGTTAAAAGAACCAGGAACAATCTGACAATCCTGACAACAACCCAGGGCTAAGAAAACATCCCAGGACACAAGAAAACAGCCAGTGGGACCACAGAGCAGCCCTGCAGTGATGTGAACAGTCACAGCACTCACCAAAAGGCCAGAGGGGCCAGAGAACAGTCCTTGTAGTAAGAGGACAGGCAGAGAATGTAAACAGCAGGGAAAGGGAAGCCATCCCCAAATATCATAGGACAGTGAGAACTACCTAGGAGACAGTCAGACAGAGCAGGGAACAATCTATAGGGCTGAGGGACAGCCAGAGCAATGAGCAAATAGCTGGAGACACACAGGCAAAGCTCTGGGTCTGAGGAACAGCAGGCCTGCCAAATATCTGCTGAGACAACAGCCCTGTATTTGGAAGACAGAGGGCCTACAAAGCAGCCAGAGGAGACAGACTCCACAGCCCAAAAGACCAAGCTCAGTGAACAATCAGAACAATAAACAACAGCCTGAAGGACTGATGCACCACCAGAGTCAAAGGAACAACTGTGTGGATTGAAAGAACAGCCAAGAAACCAGCTGAAAAAGATCAGGAACAGTGACTCATCCTACAGCCTACAGGGTCACTAGAGGGTGGGCGGTATCATCCCAGAGCCACTAATAGAGCCGCTATTCCAATGGCTAGTTAGGACTCAAGAGAGTGATGGGAGTTGACGAAGCACCAACAGACATGGCTATGGGAATTCATGGGATCAAAGACATTGTTCTGGTGGTTAAGGTAGCATAATTTGAAACCATGATGAGCTCTAATCAAAGTTAGCTTCCAATGAGCTCCACCCATTTTGCTGGCGCACATGAGTTCAGTTACACCGCACTAGGTGACAGTGAGGAATCAGCCTACACAGGGATGGGGCCAAAACTACTTTAGAGGTGGTGAGTGGCTAATCAGCAAAGAGTACTTAAGAGCTAATGTAGGGTCAGCAAATGCTGAGCTGATTTTTATGAAGATCAAGGATCCTGCCCTGTATTTGGGACTAAGTTTAGCAGACATGTGATGATACTGCCATATGGCAGGCAGATGCTGAGACTGAGAAACATGAGATGGACACCACAAGAGTGGTGAGTGGTCAGCAGTTGTGGCGTTGAGCCTAACAGTGATGGACTTGGAGGTGGGGTGTGGGCACCATGCTGGGGCATCATTGTATCCAGACACTGAGCAGTGGCTTCAGTGAGAGATCAATGCAGGGCCAGTGAACACTGTGATTGGGTTTTATGAAGGTCAGAGACACTGAGTGACCAGAAAGGTGAGGCTAATGTGGACTCAGCAGACATTGTGCTGGGAGCTCATAGAAGTTAAAGTCTCTGCTCTTATGATTAACTGAGGATCAGCAGACAGAGTGATGGTAGCTAGGGTACAGTTAACAAATACATTGCTGTGGCAATCCCCAGTACCACATACACACACAAACAAAAGAACAAGGGCTGCTGTACAGGAAACACAGAAAGTGTAATATGCATGTTCAAGTAGATGCTATATTGTATATCTGAGGATCACTAAAATAACCTGGGTCATCATAGCCCTGTGACATTCAGGGAAAAAAAGGAAAAAGTATCTAACACAGTATCAATTTACTGTGGCATAAGGCCACTAAATACTAAAAATAAAAGATTCACTCTTTTCCCCCCTAGTACTGGGGATTGAACTCAGTGCCTTGTCACATTCTAGGCAAGTGCTGTACCATTAATCTATAACCCAGATCTATTTTGAGTCAAGGTCTCACTAAGTTGCTCAATCTGACCTTGAACTTGTGATTCTTCTGGCTCAGCTTCCCAAGTAGCTGAGAATATAGGCATACACCACCACACCAGGCTAGGATTCACTCTTACTGATCAAAAAAGATGTAATAAAAAACATTCTCAGAAAATATGAGAGGTTCATCACAACCTGATCCATTGCCAGAGGAAACTCTACAGGGTATTTTTCAAGCAAATAGGAAAATGATCCTCAATGGAATGTAGAAAGTCATGAAGAGCAACCAAGATGGTGAATATGTGGGTAAAATGAAAAGAATATTGCCCAAATAAGATAAAAATGTTTTGTGGGGAAATGTGTGCTCTCTCTCACACACACATACACTCACACACACACATTTGAACCCCATAACATATCATTATATTTTGAAATATAACACACCATTATGTTTGAAATATGTATGTATATACATGCATATAAGCAAAGTTGCTATTAAAAATTTAGAGGACTGATAATAAGTGCTGGCAATTGTGGAAAAAATGGAAACTTTTTCAAACTGCTCCTGAAGAGTGCAAATTAATAAAATTTGGAGGGAAAAATTCAGTACTTAAAATTTGACAAACTTCTGTATCAATCAGAGACCAGCCAGGACACAGAAAACGCACTCATTATTGATCAAAGAGAAATTATTTGAAATAATTTCCACTAGTTATGAAGTTGTTAATATATAATTGAAGAGACAAAAAGAGAGCATTTAAGTTATCAAGGAAGCAGCAATTAGAGAAAAGCAACCAGGATAAGGTAGTATTGAAGGGATAAAGATGCAATTATTAAAAATTAGAAGAGGGGCCAGGGATGTAGCTCAGTGGTGCTGCACCTGCCTCAAAAGCGCAAGGTCCTGAGTTCGATCCCTGGCGCTGCCCCCCCCCCCCCCAAATTAGAAGGGTGCCAGGCATGATGGCACACAACTATAGTCTCAGCTACTTTGGAGGTTGAGGCAAAAGGCTCAGAAGTTCAAGGCCAGCCCAGGAAACTAAAAAAATAAAGGGGCTGGGAGTGTAGCTCAGTGGTAAAGCACTTCTGGGGTTGATCTCCAATACTGCAAACAAAGAAAAAAATTGAGTAAGGTGCAAGAGGGTACCCTTGTGGCTGGGACTCATACCTCTAAGCATGTAGCACCAGCCAGCTGATGCTTGTCCCGGAGAGGGTGGGTCCTGTAGGCTAGCTTGGGGAATGCTGGAAAACTGCCAACTGGGCAAAACTGCTGCTACAAGGAGCTGTTGCTGCTGTCTCCATGAAGAAGCAAAGGCAGGTGGGCCTTCTAGGAAGAGGGGAGGGGAGGAGAAAGTGTCTTCTGTCTCCAGCCCCAAAGTTGAAATCTAGTATCTCTTATTGGAATGGCCCTACACAGAGGAGCTGGCAAGGCAGAAATGTGGTTTGTAGAGTCACAAAGCACAGTCTAGAGGGATAACTTTGGAGCTGGAGCACAGAAGTTTAATAACTGGCACATTTCTATATACTGTGATCCAGCAGTTCCACTTCTAGGCTTAAACATGAAACACAGAAACAATACATCTTCCACTACAAGAATGGAGAGAGGAATGAGTAAACCAGACCTGCATTTATCAACATAAATCTGCGGAAGGTAACATCACATGGAAAAAAGCTGGCTGCTGAATTTTAACTAGCGCGATACCAGTTATGGAAAAATCTAACCAGACAATATAGTACTGTATACTGCAGACTTCATACTATACAAAAATCTCACAGTATAGCCAGGTGCAGTGGTGCATGCCTGTAATCCCAGCACTCTAGGAGGCTGCGGTGGGAGGATCAAAAGTTTGAGCCCAGCCCATGCAACTCAGCAAGAGCCTGTCTCAAAATAAAAAAGTGCTGGGGATGTAGCTTAGTGCAAAGGCCTTGGGTTCAATCCCCAGGACAAAGAAAAAAAAACACCTCACAATAAAGTTAAATCTAAATGTTAAAAAAACCTTTGACTTCAGAGAGAAGTATAGATGAATATCATTACCTTGAAACTGATGATAGTAAAACATAACGCTTTTAAAGAACAAACATAATCTGGGAGAAGATACTGCAACACATACGACTGAAAAGTTTTATAATCTCATAAATTAAAACAATGGCATTTAAACCAGGAAGAAGATAAACAGCCCATTTTAAAATAATGGGCAAATGATAGGAACAGTCAATGCATTAAAGAAAACATCCAAATGGTCAATGGACACATAAGATGTTCAACCTCAACTCGAAATGGGGAAATACAATAGAAAACAATAATGTTTTATATTCTGAGGGGACCAGGACCTGGTTTACACCAATCTAGGTACAACATTGTGACAGGTACTCTTCATGCTTTGGTGATCAGATGCTCCAAGGGCCTTGATCCGATGCAGAAGAGGGATTCAGGGAGGAGCTTTCTTCATGGCACAAGGCCAAGTCCGGCCTACATGAGTCCTCTGATGTTCTGTGAGGTGTGCTTTGCGGCAGAAAGCCTTGCCACATTCCTGACACTCAAAAGGTCTCTCTCCTGTGTGAATTCGCTGATGCTCAATGAGGCGTACTTTCACATAGAAGGCATTTCCGCACTCACTACATTCGTAAGGTTTCTCTCCTGTGTGAGTTCTCCGGTGCTGACAAAGGGATTTCTTCATACTAAAGATTTTCCCACATTCACTGCACTGGTAGGGTTTCTCTCCTGAATGCATCCTTTGGTGTTCAATGAGGCGAGCTTTTACATAGAAGGCATTACCACATTCGTTACATTCATAAGGTTTCTCTCCTGTGTGAATTCTCTGATGGATGCCAAGAGATGAGTGCACCCTGAAAGATTTCCCACATTCATTACACTGATAGGGTTTTTCGCCTGTGTGGGTTCTCTGATGATTATTGAGAGTCATCTTCATTCGGAAGAATTTCCCACATTCTCCACATTCGTAGGGTTTTTCCCCTGTGTGAATTCTCTGATGTTGATTTAGAGATTTCTTGGCCCGGAAGTTCTTCCCACAGTCCCCACATTCATAGGGTTTCTCCCCCGTGTGAGTTCTCTGGTGTTGGGTAAGGGATATCTTGACACGAAATGTTTTCCCACATTCGCCACACTCGTAGGGCTTCTCTCCTGTGTGGGTTCTCTGGTGAATTGTGAGAGTGGCCTTCTCTGAAAAGGTTTTCCCACAGGCCATACATTTGTAGGGTCTCTCTCCTGTGTGTGTTCTCCGATGCAGAATGAGTTGTGACTTTCTGCCAAAAGATTTCCCACATTCGTGACATTCAAAGGGCTTCTCTCCTGTGTGGGTTTTCTGATGAGCAATGAGGTAGGATCTTGCACTGAAGGTTTTTGCACACTCACCACATCCATAGGGCCTCTCCCCCGTGTGTATTCTCAGATGTTCAATGAGGTTTGATTTCCTGCAGTATGCTTTCCCACATTCATGACATTCAAAGTTTTTATCTCCCGCGTGTGTTCTTTTATGTCTGACAAAGGCTGTTTCCTCATGGAAACCTTTGCCACATCCATTATAGTCGACATTTTCATTCAAAGTTGGAACCTTCTGATTCGCAAGAAGGTTGAGGGCAATGCCCCCAACTGAAGTGTTGCCACACAGCAGAGAGAGGGATTCTTTAAAAGCAAATCAGAGCATGTCATTCACATAAATTCCCAAAATAGCCAATCACAGTATACAATTAAGCTCCTTAACCTAGCCTTCTCGCTAGGTATCATTTGGCCCCCCTGCAAATTCACTGATGCCACTTCTTAACATTCTCCCCATCTCTCACCCTGACCTTTTTGCTAGTCCTAGGATATGTCACCCTGTCCAGGCTTGACACTCACAATTCTCTGCCCAGAATACTTAAAACCTACATGGCCCCATCTCACTCACTTCACTGATGTTTGTGCACTAATGTTAACCTCATCAAAATGCCTTCCTTGATCATGTTCTCTAAATGTACACAATAGTGGCTAACTTTCTTATCTTGCACTGACTTTCTTTTTACCACTAAACACATTATGTATTTGCTTCTGGTTGCCTTCCCTCATTAGCTTGTAAGCTCTAAGAAAAGACAGATTTTTTTTTCACTGCTGGGTCTCCATGTAGAGTGTGACCAGCATATACTTGGTACTCACTTAAAGTTTGGTGAATGACTAAATAAATGTATGTATGAATGGATGGCTGAGATTAGAAGGCACCCAAGGCAATGGAGAGGAGGAAAAATAAATGTCCAGGAGGAGGCAGAGGTCAATAAGAATAGTGGATAACTTTACAAAAATCACAGTAAAATAAGCACTGACATGTAAGCAAAATACTGAGAAGTGCAATTTAGGGTCTGAAGTGTGTAGACCTTCTGTCATTTTCAAAGAGCTTAGGCCTCTAAAAAGAGATTCCTGGAAAATACTGTATGAGGCTAAGCTTTGACCTGAATTACTGGGATCTTATTTCCCCTGTGCTCCATATGTCTGGTTCTTGCTCACTTACCGGCATAAGCATGGCCTGAGGATTCCTCCTCTAATATCCACAGCTCTTCTCCTCGCTCCAACTTGAAGATCATCTCTGGTTTGGCCACGCAGAGGCCTGTTAATGGGAAATGGCATAGGACATGGACCAAGATGTCTCAACTTTAGGGCCTCTGATGGAGGAATAAGGTGCATCTTCATGAGCTGCATGAGGAAGGGGGCCGATTTAAACCTTTCATTGGGGAGGTCAGAACATATACATTCTTCCTGGTGCCCTGAACTGACCAGTCAGCTGTGACCCTTGAATCTGAAACTAAAACACAGAACTCTGCAGAGGCTGTACATGTTACAGCAACCACACCCCACCAAGAGTCATACAGACAAGCATCCTCACCCACAGATGCCAGGTTGCTGTAGGTCTCCAGCATCACGTCCTTGTGCATGGTTCTCTGTGCGGGGTCTAGTCTGTGCCATTCCTGCCGGGTGAAATCCACAGCCACATCCTCAAATGACACGGATCCCTGTAACAACAATTTGCAATGATCAGAATGGGATGCATGAAAAAGCTGTGTGAGCACAAATCCGCTCCCTGGAGCCCTACTGAGCCAGTAAGAAAGAGTCACATGGATCTATGATTTGGTATCTTAGTTGGTATTATACTTTTAAGGGGGCATAAAAAGCCCTGTCATTGCATTAATGTATTAATTCATGAAGAAAAGATTATTAGATGACCGCATTAAGACTATATGCCTGGACCTGTGCACATTTCTAAGGAAATGAAGAAACCACAGGATCTGTACTCAGGGAGCTCATATGTGCAAGAGAAATGCTAGATAAGTAAAGACACAGTAAACAAAAATATGGGTAAGTATAATAGACTTTCCCTCTCCTCTCAAGAGTTCTAAATTATGTTTAACACCTGCAAAAGTTAATATACTATTTGATGTGGTTCTAAATATATATATAGATGAAACATTTAAGAATATTACTTTACAAACAGGGAAGAGCAAAGAGGATTAAAGGGAGGCAAACTTTCTACACAGTTCTACGAACTGTTAAAATGACTATAGCAGTAGGCTGTGTTAAATTATGTACATAATGTAACCCTTTTTTTTCAATAATGGTGATTGAACCCAGGGTCTTTGCACTGAGCTGCATCCCAGTCCTTTTTTGCTTTTTGCTTTCTTTTATTTTGATTTATTTAAAAATTTTTATTAGTACATGCTTGCAGTACATAATGTTTACATTCCTTGCGGAGAGTTGGCACATGTACATAACACATCTTGATTCCTTTTTTCATTCCCTTTCCCTCCCTTTTTCCTCCCTCCATCTCTTGATCTCTTTCCCCTTTGAGAAAGATCTATCTCCCTACTTACTGTTCTCTATCTTTTATTTTGCTCTATTTATAATTTGGGCTTCTGGTTTTTGTTTTGAAAAAAAGCCTTGCTAATTTGTTATGTTCCCTAGGCTGGGCTCAAACTTGCCATCCTCCTAGAGTGCTGGGATTACAGATGTGTGCCACCATGCCTGGCTGAAAGCAACCTTTTAAAAAGCTGTAAAGAAATACATGAAAAAACATTACATATGAATCAAAATGGAATTCTAAAAAATGTTCTAGTAGCAGACAGGAAGATAGGAGAAAACAAAATAGAGTTTCCATTTCAATCCACCATCAATGTGTATGCTCTTTGGCTAGCGACCTGCATATTGCCCTGCCTTGTGTCCCCAGGTCTAACCTGTTTCTTCTTTTCCCTTAATTTCTGGTGGAACTGCCACCAAGATACAGATACTTTGAGAAACCCTTACAAGGAAGACTCACTTGCCATGCTGGAATATGATAGAAAATGTAAAGGCCAACATTCCGAATAAGGAAGAAATTCCTCTTGATCAGCAAAGACTGACATTTGCTGGGAAGCAACTGGAAGACAGATGTGTGTGGCATGATCAAAATACAATGAATATTTAAATTTTAAATATTTATAGTAAAAGACATTAATCACCCTCAAAATACTCCCCATGTAACTTCAAACACACTTATCATTCATGCCACTTTCCAAAGCAGTTTTGGAAGTCTTCTTTTGTATGTGTTTTTATGAGATGTGATTAAAAAATACAATGAATGCTGCTGCTGAATGCCATCCATCACAAAGGCAGGCTCATAAAAACATTACTGTATCCTTATCCACCTTATTTACTGAATTTGGCACCGTATGACTTCTGGCTCTTTCTCAAAGTCAAAATGACTATGAAAGGTAAATGTTTTGAATCGATTTGGGATATAGAGGCAGTCACAACAACACAACTGATGACACTCATGAAAGAGAACTTCCAGAAGTGCTTCAGATAAGTGAGTTCAAAGCAAGGGGGAGTATCTTGAAAGGGATTGATGGCAATGTGTCTTTTATTGTAGTAAACTTACTTAAACATTCACCTTATTTTTCACTGCACCTCACCTTTGATCTTACTACAACATTCAAAAGGAGTCCAGGTTTCATGCTGAGACTTTGGGGTGGTACTAATAACAAAAGGAGTCATATCACTCCCAAGATGAAGGAACATAAGAGAAAAAAGATTAAGCTAGCTGTCCTGAAATACTACAAGGTGACTGAGAGTGGCAAAATTAGTTGCCTTCATCAGGAGTGCCTTTCAAATGAACGGAGCTGGGAGTTTCTATGAGTGGTCACTTTGACAGACATTAATGTAGTAAATGTTATCTGACTTATTGCCTCAACAAACCAGTAGACAAGAAAACAAAGAGCTGGGCATGGTGCCACACACCTGAATTTGGGAGGCTGAGGCAGGAGGATTGTAAGTTTGAAGCCAGCCTGGGCTACATAGTGAAACCCTGTCTTTAATTAATTAATTAATTAATTAACTAAAACAGTTTTAAAATGGAACAAATGAAATAGCAAGAACACATACAAAATAAAAACTGGTAGACTTAAATCCTAGCAGATCAATAATTACATAAAATGTAATCTAAATACACCAATAAAAAGACAGATTGATAAGCAGTTTCAAAGTATGACCCAAATGCATGCTGTCTAAAATAAAGGCACTTTGAATATAGTAATATGGGTGGGCTGAATGTAAAAGTATGAAAAGAGACATGCTATGCAAATATTAATCAAAAGAAAGAAGTAGTTATATTAATATCAGATAATGTCAGCCGGGGATTTAGCTCAGTGGTTCCGGCGCCTGCCTCGAAAGAGCAAGGTCTCGAGTTCAATCCCCGAAATCAGATTTTAAAAATCAGATAATATAGACTTCAGGGAATAAAAAATACCAGAGACAGTGCTCTGGTTTGATTATCCCCTCAAAAACTCATGTTTAAATTTAGTTGCATCATACCCATGTTTATAGCAGCACAACTCATAATAGTTAAATCTTGGAAGCAGCCTATATGTTTGTCAACAGGTGAATGGCTAAAAAATGTGGTATTTACACACCATCGAGTACTACTCTGTCACAGAGAAGGATAAACTTGTGTCATTTGTAGGAAAATTGATGCACCTTAAGACTATAATGTTAAGTGAAATAAATCAGACACACAATACGCTTTCTCTTATATGAGAAACCTAAAGCATAAATAACTTAAAGAACAAAATAAAGGATGGATAATAGAAGTCAAGGAGATAGATCTTTTGCAAATAGGTAAGGGATCTAGAAATGAAGAGAGGGGAGGGTAAGGGGAAGTAAAAAGACGAGTTATGTACTCATACCAATTCCCTACAATGAATGTAATCACTGTGTACGTCAAACATGTACTAATAAAAAAAATTGGAAAAAATAAAATGAAAAATTTATCAATCAAAGACAAATGAACTTCAAAAAAAGAAATCTAGTTGCCATTGTAACAGTATTACGAGGGGAGCTGGGTGTGGTGGCACACACCTGTGATCCCAGAACTCTGGGAGGCAAGACGACCACAATTTCAAGGCCAGCCTGGGCACAACTTAAATTCTCAAAATTAAAAAATATAAATGGCTGGTAGGGTGCCCCTAGGTTCAATCCCCTGTACTGCAGGAAAAAATTGGTAACTTAAAAAAGTGAGGGTTCTGTCCTATGAACAGATTAATGGTATTATTTCAAGAGTGAGTTCATTGCTGAGGCTAGGTTCACCCATTTTTGTTCTCATGTTTTGCTTTTCCACCATTCTGCCATGTGATTCCTTCCATAATACAATACAGCAAGAATGCTCTCACTAGATGCTGGCACCTTCCCAGCCTCCAGAACTGTGAGGCAATACATTTCTGTTCATTTTAAATTATCCAATCTCAGATATTCTGTTCTAGCAGCACAAACGGACTGAGACAGAGGATATATAATAAAGAGATCAACCATCAAGAAGGACATAGAAACCTAAATGTGTATGAATCAAACAGCAGAAACAAAAGTTAATGAAACTGAAAGCAGAAATAAACAAATTGAGAGTTGGAAATTCCAACACCCCTCCTCTCAAAAAATTACAGAAAAACTAAATAGAAAATAAGCAGGAAAACCAAATAACTCAACAATACGATGAACTAAGAGAATCTACTTAACATTTATAGAATACTCTACCCAACAATAGCAGAATATTTTTTTCAAGTAACTATAGAACATATGCCATATTTAGGACACATAATAAACCTCAATAAACTTAGAATTGAAATCATACAAGGTGTGTTATCTGACCACACTAGAATCAAACTGGGAGCACTTGCTTTGGCAGCACATATACTAGAATCAAACTGGGAATCAACAACAGTAAAACACTAGGAAAATCTCTAAACACTTTGAAATTTGAACAACACAGTTGGGCTGGAGGTGGAACTCAGTGGGAGACCACTGCTTAGCATGTATGAGGCCCTGGGTTTCATCCACAGCATTGAAGAAACACACACACACACACACACACACACACACACACATACACACACAGTAATTTCTGTTTGGTTCAATTAGGATTTCAAGGAAAATTAAAAAATATATTGAGGGCCTGCAGATGTAGCTCAGTGGTAGAGCACTTGCCTAGTATGTGTGAGGCAATGGGTTCCATCCGTACCACTGCAAAAGAAAAATACACTGAACCATATGAAAACACAACATATCAATTTGTGAGAGACACATAAAGCAATTCTGAATATATGAAACAAACTTCTTATTCTTAGCCTGCAGATATCAAAAGAATAATAAAGAATATTATTGTGAAAGTTAACATTATCAAAATGGAGTCATTTGTGTCAACTCTAACAAAAAATAAATAAATAAACCTGAGAGATTATGAAGGAAGGGTTCTCATACATGATTGCCTGATAACAACTATCACAAACAAAGCCAGAACCAAAAGCTTGCATAAGGGCCACCACAAACTTAAACAAAAGGTATTTCTGCAGGGCATCTGCCCAGCAACTGTTCAACCTTATACTGATGTCACCCTTATTTTTTTCATTTTTTTATTCATTAAGTTTATTGGTACATTTTAGGTATACAATATGATGACATTCATCATTGGGAATTTGTACATGATATGTCTTGG